TAATTCAACCCGTCTCCTATTGATGATCGTTTAGGTTTCTTTTCTTTCTTTTTTTTTTTAGTAATAACACTGCAGAAAATATCCTCAAATAACTTTGCACGTTGGTATGAGCTTTTTTGCAGAATAAATGCCTAAAAATGGCAAAGCTAATATATGTGTGTGGTGGTTTTAAAGCACATCTACAAATTATTTGACACTTCTCCCACCCAAGGCAGATTTTCATTCTCCTCCTCCGGAATACGGACCAGTGCTGTCTCTAATAAGCAGAATGTAGTGGAAACGGCAGAGGGTGGCTTCTGTGGTTAGGTTAGAAAAGGTGATGCAGCTTCAGCCTGGCTCCCTCTTTCTCGCATACTCATTCTCGAAACCCAGCCACCATTTAGGGGAAGCCCCAGCTGGCCAGCAGGCACAGCAAAGGTCACAGCTGATGGCACAACTTCTGCCCTGTGAGTGAAGGGCTTTCAGCTGGCCCCAGCCCCATCTCATCATTTTATGCTGAAATAATTTGCCTTCAAAAGAAAATGAAAGAAATACATGTCATAGCAATGCTATCCTTAGCAAGGCCTGCTTGCAAAGCTGGCCCTTGGCTGGTGTCTGGGAACTTGGATTTGGGAAGAATTTCAACCATTCTCTGATAAGAATGGCTCACTGTGCCTAAACTGTTTGTGCAAACACTATAATTTATGCTGAACACCTGTTTTCCTTCTGGGAGTCTAGAATCTCAGTAGACACTAGGCAGAGGCTGCCTATGTGACCAGCCCCCAATAAAAACCCTGGCTGCTGAGTCTCCAGTGAGCAACCTTGGTAGACAACGTTCCATACATGTCGTCCCAACACGCTGTTGGGGGAATTAGGTGCATCCTGTGTCACGCTCCTGGGAGAGGACTCTTGACAGCTCACACCTGGTTTCCTCTGGACTTTACCCCAGTGCCACTTCCCTTTGGTTTTGCTGTTTCCTTTTGCCGTAATAAATCACAGGCTTGAGTATTGTTGTATGTTGAGTCCTGCCAGTCCTCCCAGCCAATCATCAAACCTGGGGTGGTCTCAGGGACACCGACACACCACGCAGCTCCATTGCGACAAGACTGCAGTGAAGCTGACACACTCACATGCTGCTGGTACTTCGTACGTGGACGCTCAGCAACACTGCTCTATACATCAAAAGTCATTCAAATGTTCATTTCCTGTGACTCTGTAGTCCCGTTTGGGGACTGTGTCCTGTCACAACTATTCAACAGAAGGAAGGAGAGACAAAGATATTCATCACAGCTAATGATAACCTGAAAATAAAATAAGATAAATGTCCAACAGGAAAAATGGTTAATTATGGTACATCAACTCTAACAAACTGATTAAAATGAGATGTATAAAGATTATAAAGAGAAACATGAGAAGATGTTTCTGATATGTTTTTAAAAAATTTAAGGCCGGGCGCGGTGGCTCACGCCTGTAATCCTAGCTCTCTGGGAGGCCAAGGCGGGCGGATTGTTTGAGCTCAGGAGTTCGAGACCAGCCTGAGCAAGAGCGAGACCCCCGTCTCTACTAAAAATAGAAAGAAATTAATCGAACAACTAAAAATATATAGAAAAAATTAGCCGGGCATGGTGGCGCATGCCTGTAGTCCCAGCTACTCGAGAGGCTGAGGCAGAAGGATCACTTGAGCCCAGGAGTTGGAGGTTGCTGTGAGCTAGGCTGACGCCACAGCACTCTAGCCCAGGCAAGACAGTGAGACTCTGTCTCAAAAAAAAAAAAAAAAAAATTTAAACTGAGACAATATATTAGGTTCATTGACAGCAACTATGTCAACACACAGGAAGGTCCAAAGTCATTATTTAAAATGAAAATGTTTGGGGCCAGGCTTCAGGAGGAAGGCGGGGGTAGATTTCCCATAGGTAAATTGTTTTTATCCTTAATCTTGCTATTCTAGTGAACTAGGAAGCTTTCTGGAGATTTGGTAGGAGCAGCTGCTCAGGAGCGAAGAACGGTGGCCCTGAATCCTTTGATTGTCACCACCTGGTATAATACCTTCAAGGTGTGTGCATGGGAGAAAGAAGGAGATGGCATTTAGCCAAAATTTCTTTCCAGGAAGCGCAGGTCTAGGGGTGAAAACAGTGGTTCAAATACACAAATACTTCCCTCGCTCTCTCCTCCCACGGACCACCCCGGCTCCCTACGGCTGGCTGAAGCCAAAGCTCTAGCTCCTGGGCCCCACGCCCGCCAACTCGGGAAGGGGCGGGGTCTAAGGAAGTGGGCGGGACTTCCTGGGATGGCCCCGCCCACACCTGCCGCGCGGGCGGTGCCTCGCTCCGCTCTGTGACTCTCACGGGCGCTGCACCTTCCTGGCCTGGTGGGACTGCGCCTGTCGCTGCACACCTGTGTCGAGCTTGGAAAGGTCTGCCACGCCTACCAGAAGGTCCTAAATTCACCGCGCCTTCTTGGGGTTGAAAAAAATCCATTAAAAGACAACTCCAGCATCCTCCCAAATCCAGGGATTCTTGTCCTCTCCTGGAAAGGCTTAAATAAAGTTAGATCACAAAATGTGGGGTGAGAAGGGGGCAATGACTCGCTCAAGGGCACACAGCAAGTCACTGGAGCGGGGCCTGGAACAAGGTGTCCTGATCCCCAGGTTCCCTTTAGAACTGGGGGGAGAGGGGGCCGGCCGGGGTTGGTCCTCCCAGGCTTGGCGCGGTGAGGCACGCCCAAAGTGATTTTTGGGTGCTTTACCAGGCACAGTGACATGGGAAAAGAGACTGGGAGGTGACTGGCCTGGACCAGCAGGTGAAATCTTTTTTCATCCAACATTTTATTTTGGAAATTTTCAAACACCCAGACAAGTTGAATGAATGGTAGAGCAAATGCCCATATACCCATCACCTAGAGTCTACGTTAACATCTTATTACATTTGCTTTGTCATGTATCAATCCATCCCTTTATCAGCCATCAGTCTGAAGTGGTTTTTAAATTAGCCCTTAATTTATAAAAGCCAACCTCCATGGAAATATTCATCGTCTACATACATCAGGAATTTGGCCGGTTAGGAGGACCCATCGTGGATGCCCTTGCTAGTCACTTACCCTCGTCTCTGTCTCTGGAGCCTGTGGTCAGGGGACCTGGGCAGAGGTGTCTGAGCAAACCACATGGCTGCTCCTAGCTGCTCAGCGCCACAGCCTGCGGTGGGCCTGGAAGGCCTCCCAGGACACACAGGATCAAGGACACACTGCCTCTTGCAGGGTAGCAGGCACTGCCCTCTCTAAACACACTCATGGGACCCTTGTTAGAGCTGCCACTCCTTGGGCATGGTGGGGACCTGTCCTCACCTGCTGGGGGCACAGATACCTCTGAGTGCCACTCAGAAAAGCCTGTCCTGGGGCCCCGGCACACTGTGGCCATCCCAGCTGCTCTCCTGGCTGCGCACCTTTGCCAGGAAAATGTAAGAGTCACTAGATGCCAGCCTGTCTCATCCCCACTGCGGGAGGAGGGACAGTGGCGAGACAAAGAGACCCAGGCCCGCAGCTCTGATTTTAGACCAATGTTGTCCCAGAAGATCGCACCACTCAGCCTCTTCCCCTTTGGCAGGTGCCGAGAGATGAAGCTGGCCACTCCTTCTGGCCTGGCCCTCAGCCCGGTCTCCTCCGCATCTGCACCCTGCCCAAGCCTGTGTCCCTTTCTGATGCTTCGGTACCCCGCAGCTCCCTTGGCGCTTGCAGCCCATCAGTGCCTCCCCACTGTGTGCAGGACAAGGTCCAAAACACCCCTGGGGCCTGGCCCCACGTGCCCTTGTGCCCCAGCCCTTGCCTCCTCTCCCCACTTCTCCCCAAATACCAGGCTTTCTCTTGCACCCAAGCTTTTGCAGCGTCCCCAGTTTTCTCATCTGGCAAATCCTTGTCACCAGTGAAGTCCCAACTTCTTGCTGCAGAGCCAGGCAAGGCACACAGGTGCCACGGTGCAAGCTCAGCGGTTCCTTAGATGAGCCGGTGCCTGTGCCTCTGGGCATCTATTTAGCATGGCTTTGTCTGTACTTGGTTGTTCACGTGTCTCTTTTCCCAGCCATACAAAGATAGGGAGCATCACGCCCAGCTGAATCGGCCCACAGGAGAGCTTCGCGGAAGGAGCCATGTATCTGGCAACATGCGCAGGGACTAGCAGGAAGCCCAGAGAACCGGAAGCAGAGGGCGCCCGGGGCAGAGTGATGCTCATCAAGAGTGTGCATGTGCCAGGTTGGCTGAGCCAGACGGGAGAGGCCGTGCTCTGTAAACTCTCAGGGTTACAGAGAGAACAGGTACTAATAATAACATATGTTCACTAATTTTCCCTCACCTGACACATACTTATAACCCCTGCCACCGTTCCAGAAGAAAAGCAGGCAGCATCACACTGTCCTGCAATGCCAGAGCACCCTCCAGCCCCCATGTCATGTGTGCCTCGCAGCGTCCACGAGGGGGCAGAGCAGGGCTATGTCTCCCCCTTGCATGCCTGACGGGGCAGGTCAAGTGGGCTGGGGAGGGCGGTGCTGGGCCTGCCCGGGATGCCCTGGAGTCCGGACTTTGCTGCCCCCCCCCACCCCCCCCCCCCCGCGCTGTGTTGAGGCCTCCTGCCTGGGGTGGGGGGCGCTGCTGAGCGGGCCATGGCACCCCCTCAGGAACTCTCTGCACCCCACCCTGAGGGTTTGGATGTCACACACACAAACACACAGGGCCCGGCCCCTTCCTGGCACCCTTAGAAGCTGTTCCCAGGACAACAGTCAACAGTCAACACAGGCAAGAGTTTAAGACACAGCTGGCCTCAAATGCCCTCCCCAGCCTGCAGGGCCCCAGTCCCCATCGGCCACTCTGAGCTTGGGGGCTCCGGGGGCAGTGAGGAGGACCCCTGCCCAGGCTGCACAGGGGTGGGGATGGAGGAGGTGTCCCAGGAGAGGTGAAGCTCAGGGGCTGGTGAGTGCTCTCGTGCTCTCTCTCTCTTTCTCTGCCACAGACAGACAGACACACACACACTCACATCCATGGGGAGCCACCCCACCCCTGAGCTCCAGAGAACCACATCAGGTGGGTACCGGCTGCCCCACACCAGGCCGGTTGTGCAGAGTGGCCCTGCGGCGGGCAGGGGTCTTGTGGGTGGCTGCCCAGCCCCCCAGGCCCCAAAGGCAAAGGCACAGGTAGCGGAGGGCGCGCAGCGGGACCAGCTGTGGAAGGAGCTGCTGGAGGCGGAGCAGCGGGGCCTGCAACGCTGGTGAGTCCCTGCCCTGCCCTCCTGGGACAGACTCAGACTCTGTTCTGGCACAGACCTGCTGGGTCCCTGCCCCCTTCTCCCTGCTCCCTCAGCCTGACTGCAGGTCTAGGAAGCTCTGGAGAAAGGGAGACGGTGGGAAAATGATCCAGGCCAAGGGACAGAGAGCATGTAGGGGCAGGGGGATGTGCCGGCCCAGGGCCAGACCTGAGCCTAGGATGTGGGAGGAAGGGGGAGGCCCAGCCAGACAGCCTGGGCCAGACCAGCCCACCTCGCTCATTCTAACTGCCCCCCTCAGTTTAGAGCAATCGCTACACCTGAAGCTCTCGCAGCCAGGGGAGGTCCCCGCAGGAAGCTGTCTCCCAATCTGGGTGACAGCCCCTGGCAACCGCCACTCTATTCTTTGCTTCCATGAATTTGACTATTTTAGGTACTTCACACAGTATTTGTCTTTCCATGTCTGGCTTCTTTTGCTTAGCATAATGTCCTCTAGGTGCAGCCATGTTTTATCCTATTGCAGAATTTCCTTCCTTTTAAGGCTGAATACTATTACGTTATATGTGTACAGTACATTTCCTTTATCCATTCATTTGTCAGATATGTAGGTTGCTTCCACATTTGGGCTACTATTAACATAAATAGTGCTATAATGAACATGGGAATGCAGAGATCTCTTTGAGATCCTGATGGTAATATTCTTTTGGATAAATACGCGGAGGTGGGATTGCCAAATTATATGGTAGCTCTATTTTTAATTTATTGAGGAACCTCCATACTGTTTTCCATAGCAGCTGCACCATTTTGCATTCCCATCAAAAGTGTACAAGGGTTCCAGTTTCTCCACATCCTTGCCAACACTCATTGGTTGTCTTTTATTTTGTTTTGGTTTTTTATAACAGCCATTCTAATAGGTGCGAGGTGACATCTCATTGTGGTTTTGATTTGCATTTCCCTGATGATAAGTGACATTGAGCATCTTTACATATACCTGTTGGCTATTCACATGTCTTCTTTGGAGAAATGTCCCTTCAAGTTCTTAACCCATTTTTTCAACTGGGTTATTTGGTTTTATGCTATTAAGTTATAGGAGCCCCTTACATATTTTGGCAATTAACCCCTAATCAGATATTGGTTTATAAATATTTTCTTCCATTCCATAGGTTGCCTCTTCACTCTGTTGATTGTTTCCTTTGCTCTGCAGAAGTTTTTTAGTTTAATATAATCTCATTTGTCAATTTTTGCTTTTGTTGCCTGTGCTTTCGGTGTCATATCCATGAAATCATTGGCAAGACCAATGTCATGAAGCTTTCTCCTATGTTTTTGAGTTGATTTTTGTGTGTGGTATAAGAAAAGGGTCCAATTCCATTCTTCTGCATGTGAAAAACTTCTGCACAGCAAAGAGAAGAATTAACAGAGGACAGCCTGTAGGATGGCAGAAAGTATCTGCAAACTGAGTAGATGTGGGAAGAAAGGTGAGGAAGGAATGAAGGGTGCCAGGGATCTCCACCTTGCATAATTAATGGGGAAGAGAAGATAAACGATGAAGGTGCTGAGTTCTGGTGAGTTTTAAATGCCTTAACCACATCCGAATGGAGTTGGCTAGGAGGCAGTTGAATGTGAGAGTCAGGAGTTGGACACTGAAAACCTGTACAGACGGAAAGTAGATTTGGGGTTCCCGGGAGTTGAGGGGAAGGTAAAGTGGCAGTGACTGCTAAATGGATACAAGGGGATGGGGGGTGATGAATATGTTCTGGAATCAGATAGTGATGATGGCTGCACAACTCTGTGAATATACTAAAAACCATTGAATTGTACACTTCGAAAGGTGAATCTTACAGTATGTGAATTATTTCTCAATTTAAAAAAGAAAAAGGTGGGCATTGACCCTATCGATAGGAATGAGCTTTCCCTGGAAGAATATGATGGATCAGAAGAGGCAAGGACAGAACAGAACTTGCAACATTTACTAGACGGGCAGAGACGCAGCCAGGAGATGCCAGAGAAGACAGCCCAGGGTGCAGAGAGGCATAAAGACCATGAGGAGGCCGGGCTCCTTGGATCACACCTGTAATCCTACTCTGGGAGGCTGACGCAGGAGGATCACTTGAAGTCAGGAGTTCGAGACCAGCCTGAGCAAGAGTGAGACCTAAAAAAAAAAAAGAAAAGAAAAGAAAAATTAGCCAGGTGTGGTGGCTCATACCTGTAGTCCCAGCTACGCAGGAGGCTGAGGTAGAAGGATGGCTTGAGCCCAGGAGTTCAAGGTTGCAGTGAGCAATGATGACACCGCTGCACTCTAGCCTGGGCAACAGAGCAAGACCTTGTCTCAAAATAGAAAAGAAAATATACTAAGTTGTATAATAAAGGAACTGGAATCATATTGTACTCTTTAGTTTATCAGTGAAGAACATTTACATAACCATGGGATATACACTATAAATAGCCATTTAACCAAGATCTATAATATAATTATTTGGAAGAATGAGAGAGAAAATCGGGGTAAGAATGCTTACTCATCATCTCCCAGAATAGGAAGTCAATAGATAAATTTAAATTTTTAAAAAATTAAGAAACATCAGTATAAGCATATTATTTCAAAACATGGACACAAAAGGCCTGAAGAAACAGTTGAAAGGCTGGACACGGTTTGACTGTAGGATGTGGGGCTCAGGGGCTGTGAGGATGGAGGCAGAGATGGCTGTTTTTATGATGTCTTGTAGAATTGCTTGACTTTTTAAAAATAGAGTCAAATAAAAATTAAACTACCAGTGCAGGTAATGCCATCCTCGTCGAGGTCACCCTCCATCTTCCCACTCCTCCCCCACCTTCCTCTGTCACCCAGGCTGGAAGGTTACAGAGGCTTGAGGACATGGAAACTGGTTTTTCTTCACAAAATGCTTGAGCTCTCCTAAGGTAGCCTTCTGAAAATGCACAGAGGCGTCGTCGTCGAGATTGTAGCCATTGTTCTCCTTAAGCCGCCGGCAACATCCTCCGGCATCATAGTTGCCACTCGAGGAAAAGCCATTGAAATGTTTGTCCATTTTGTAGAATGCATGTAAGTAGTGGTTGACACTTGGCATTCATTTCACTTAAAAGCTCTTTAGTTCTTCCAGGTGATACGTAGTTGCATTGACTCCATACAGCGAAAGTGATTTGCAAAACTGTCTCGGAGAGAATTCGCACTGCCAACATGTTCTTCCTTTCCAGGGCTGAGAACTGGAGTTTCCTGAAAGACTATGACCCCATGGTAAGGTGAAATATGTTCTTGTCAAACGTACTTGCAGTTTGAATATTTCTTTTTTCTTTACTCAGCTAACAAAGTGGCTTACAAAGCTTCCTGTGATCTAACCCTGCCTACCTCGCCAGCCTTGTTGCTCACCCCACACTGACCTTTCTCTCTCTCTCTCCTTCCCTCCGTCTCTCTCTTCAGAGACAGGTTCTTGCTCTGCTGCCCAGGCTGCAGTACAGGGGCATGATCATAGCTCACTGTAACCTGGGAGGGAAAATTTAGCTTGTGAGACCTGAAATCTTGCACCGAGCTTCTGGTCTGGGCTTGTAGACTGTAAGCGTCTCTCCCCGCCAGGGGCTGAGTTACAGCAACATGACCACTCGGGTCTGCACCGCACCCACAGGGTGGGGCCACCTTGGCGTGGACTTTCCCAGGTGGAAGCCAGGAGCTCATGTTTGGACTGGTCATGCCACTTTGTTAGACACAGGGTAGCACAAAGTGAACCCTAAACAGGGCAGGAAGAGTAAGGATTGTATCTCCACTCATCAGATTATTTTTCATTGATATATTCACTCATTCGTCCATCGGTTACAGAGGTCACCAAAAGTCATGTACCTAGATGCTCATGACAGCCAAAAGGTGAAATCAACGCAAATGTGCCCAACAGTAGTGTAGGTAAATAACTTGTGGACTACTCACACGATTCACACCGTGGAATGTCGTACAGCACTGAGAACGAGTGAACTGCAACCACACACAAAATGTGAATGAGTCTCACAAACATAATGTTGAGAGAAAGAAACCACTACTATAAAGTTCTAGCCCAGGAAAAACTGATGCCCAGCGTCAGAGGTGAAGATCAGGTTGGCGCAGGCGCAGAGATAACATCTGAGGGATGGAAAGGAGGTGAGATGGGCCGACCATATTTCCTGATGTGGGTGGGGTTACACAGTCCTGTTCACTCTGTGAAAATCTGTTAAGCTGTAGTTATGATTTGTGCACTTTTGTGTATGAATATTACACTTTAAGTAAAAATTTACAAAAAACCAAAAACCAAATCGGAACCTATGGCCTCCCACCACATGTGAAGCAGCATCTTAGGACATGGGGCTAGAAAGAGGAATAAGGCAAGGTCCCTCCCTCGGTCACTGCAGGTCACAGCATAAAAGTCAAGGGCTCTGGGAGGCACCCGGGGATTGAGGAAGAGGAGGGATAACCCCAGCAAGGGCTGCGGAGTCAGGTCACTCTCAGGGGACCCAGATCCCAACCAGGATCGAAGCCCCAGAGGCACTTCAAACAGAGAGGCCATCCACTCTCTGCTGTCCTCCTCCTCCTGAGGGTCCCCTGTAGCACGCGGGGCTCTCCTTTTTTCCGTACAGCACATGACCTGAACTGTCCCTTCTCCTCAGGGCAATAAGAAGGAGCCTGAGAAGCTGCCGGACTATGTACCCTTCTTTTCGGACACGGTCCCCAATTCCACAAACCGGGTCGTGGGCAGCAGGGTGGACACGCCGCTGGGGAAGACGCTCATTGGCATGGACTTCTTCTTCGTGGAAGGGGCCCGGAAGAAGAAGCTGGAAGATGAGCTGCAGCCCGTCTAGGAGTGAGGGGGGCTCGGCCAGCCTTCCCCAGGTGGGTGTGTGCAGGGTGGAGGCTCTGGGCTGGCCTGGCCCACGACGGCACTCAGTTACCATCCCGCACAAGGCAGCCAGAGAAAAGAATTATTTGCATCTGAGGCAGAGTGTGGGAGCAGGAGGTGCAGGAGAAGTCAAGGTTGAACACGGCTGCAGGGGGTCTAGCCTGCGCAGACTCGGGGGGGGGGTCATCCAGTGCTTCGCTACCTGCCCAGGGGGCAGGGTAGGAGGGCCAGGGAGGGCGCCTGTTCTGCCACTCCTAGAAGCATGGCCACGTAATTACAGATGGTGTGACAGATAAACACAAACTCTGTGCTGGGCACTGCACCCATATCGTCTCCTTCGTGGGTAGGATGGTCACCATTTGAGGTTTGGAAAAAAGCCAAATTCTTTGTTCGGTCTGCTCAGGGTCACACAGCCTCTGAAGGGCCAGGATCCACCTCACCTCTGACCTCCATGCCACAGTCCCCTTGCCAGGCCTCAGGCTCCATGGCCATGCAATGGGGGGAGGGGAGAAGGAGACAGATTCTAAAGGACATCACCAGCTCCAGGAGTCTCTTCTCTGAGCATTTGGGCAGTGCTGGCTCTTTCACAGAGTGTACTAGTCAGCTGCAACAGTGCTGTGTAACAACCACTCCATTCTTGCTCACAGGTCTGCATGGAGCTGGAGGGCGGCTGACCTTGGCTGGGCTTGGCTAGACTTGGCTCTACATTTCAGGTTGGATCTGAGTCTTTCCCAAATGTCTTGCATTCTCTTGGACCCACAGCCCCTGGGACATGTTCTTCCCGTGGCACATCACCAGAGCATAAGGGCCCCACCGAATCATGCAAGCACACTGAAGCCTTCTGCATGCACCCTGCAGCCAACCCATGTGGCCATGCCCCCTGTGCGTGCTGTCATCATGGTAGACCCTGCCTCACACCCGCCCCACCTGCCCTCTGCTCCCTGCCACATCTGCCTTCTTTTCAAGAGGATGCCTGCTTCTAACCCATCTCACCCAGTGGGAGCCCCAGGAATCGGGACAGAGGGCATCTACACTAAAGTCCTGATGCCAGCCTCTCACCATGTTTGGGCCAGAACAAAAGAGGCCTCCAGGCCCGAGCCCTGGGGAAGTGGGCACCGAGCCTGCAGCGTCAGCACTAGCAAAGCAGAGCAGCATTATCAATAAGGACACAGAAGAGCTCGGAGCCCACGGGCCAGGGAGCAACAGGGCTCCAGGAAGGGACTGGAATTGTAACCGGCCACAGGCTCTGCCATTCGCCACTTGTAAAAGCCAATAACAAGGACGAGGTGTGGTAAAAAGAAAGTGACTTTATTCTAGAGCTAGCAGTGGGGAAATGGCCAAGGCCCGTGCCTCGAAGAAACCATTTCAAAGTTTCAGGTTGAGGACAGGGGCTTAAAAAGGGGTCTTGGTGTGAGGGGTATGCAGGAATGGCAAGGAGGTGCTGGACAGCATGGCTGGTCCCCACGGTCATTTTAAGTTACCGCTGCACCTGGTCAATGGTCTGGCACCACCTCAAAGGCGGTTCACAGATGACCGGCAGCCTGGAGGCGGTTTCCTGGTGAGAGCTGGACTGTCTCAGGGCTCAGTCTCTGCACCCTCTAGGCAGACACTCAATTAGACGGAGGCGCCTGTGCGGGGGAGTGGCTGGTGGGAAGAGGGAGAGGAAGGCCAGTTCTTCACTGAGAGCACAGCAAGAAATGAGCAGGCAAGTTCAGAATGGAGAACTGGAAAGCAGGGCCCTGGCCACAGAGCAAGGCGCTGAGAGCCACAGTGAAGCTGGAAGGACGCTATCTCCACTATCACGGCTTCTCCGAGCACCTCTGCCTGGGCAGGACCCGAGTCTCCGCTTCCCCATGACAAAAATAATGATCTTCATCCACAGAACGTGCAACGTGAGCCTGGAGCATCTGAGGAAATGTAAAGGGATGTAGGGGCCAACCTGAATGTGGGACAATATGAGCATCAAAATGAAGGACAGTAGTAGCCCATCCCTGATCATACCCGTGACAGCCGCCCCACAGCCAGCACCCACAAACTCACCAAATAACAACAGCAATAATAACCAAGAATCCATGAGTTCATACCAATAATTTTTTACATATTTGAAATACCGATGAAAACCTCTTTTCTATTGAAGAATACAGAATAAACAATAACAGAAAAATCGCCATTTCATGACTATCAGGGCAATAACTGATTTAGGCAAGAATCAATAAAAAACATTAAAAACATCAGGAGAAAGATTCTTAGAGAACAGTAAATGCTGAAGTCTAGAAGATGCCCCCTTAACCGAATTATTAAACTTACCCTCACCAATAACAGGACAGGTGACACGAGTGCCTCTCCACGGGATGCACGGCGGCCAACGCCCGCACCCCCAGGAGCACTGCACCCAGGGGTCATTCCTGCTATAAAGAAAAAAAAATCACAGTGAATTAAGGAAAAAATTTTAGAAAAATCCAAATTGAGGGACATTCTGCCAAATAGCTGGCCTTGATTTTTCGAAAATGTCAATGCCATAAAAGACAGAGGAAGGCTGAGGAAGTGACTCAGATAAAAGATGGTTCAGACTATGATCTTTGATCGGCTCCTGGGTCAAAGCAAAAGCAGCCACGAAGGACACTTTGCAGACTAAATATTAGATGACATGGACAAAATCTAAGAGAATAGCACTGTGTCAGTGATAAAGCGCAGAGTGGGGCGGTTACATTGCGGTTCTGTAGAAGAGACCCTTGTTCTTAGGAGGTGTGTGCGGAGGTGTCTAGCAAAGCGACATGCCATCTATCACACACTCGCAAATGGCTTAACAAAAAACTTACATGGTGTGTAAATAGAGACAAAACTAATGTGGATAAAAATATCAATAATCGATTCATCTAGGTGAAGAGTACATGAGTGTTCCTGGTGCTAGTCTTGCAACCTTTCTATAGGTTTAGGAATTTAAGAAAAAATTAAGGTGAGGGACATGGCCACTACCAATGACTCCTGAGTTTACTCTCCCCTGCTGAAGAGAGTAGCGGGGGTGGAAGGGGTAATGCGGTCAGTCATTGCTCAATTGCAAGCCCCTCCTGAAGGTGAGGCCAGCTTCAGCCACGCTCTGCTCAGCTGTGGCCACACAGGGTCAGGCTCATGTAGCGGGCTGTGCCCAGTGCAGCCGTGTAGGCGAGGACGAGGCAGAGGTCTCCAATACGGGGCACTGTCTTGTGCTGGAGAGACCTTCCGGGGGCTGTGCACTGCAGAACTCTCCCCATCCACACTCCCCGACCTCCTGAAGATCCAGAGGAGCCTTGAAGATCAGCTGTTTTGAGGAGATCATCTGGGCCGCAGGGCCAGCATGCTGCTGGGATGTCCCAGCTGGGGTATGGGGGCTTGGACCCAAACACCTTCCCACAGGGCCCAAACATGACTCCACCTAGGACCACCCACCCCCAAAAGTCAGTGTTCACAAATCCCCAAAACGGTTTGCAAGTCTGCACCTGGTGGGGAATAACTATGTCTATTGAGCACCTACTCTACGCCTCTCAATCACCTTCTGAGTTGGGGATGGTTTTCCCCATTTTAAAATGAAGAAAGTCTAGCACTCTGGGAGGCCGAGGTGGGAGGATCGCTTGAGGTTAGGAGTTCCAGACCTGCCTGTGCAAGAGCAAGACCCGCCCATCTGAGGCTAATAGCCCAGAGCCAGCGACGGGCCGAGGCTGACAGCGCAGAGCCAGCGCCCGCAGACTCCAGCATCGCATTTTTGTGACTTTCTTAGCTTCACGATCCGGCCCCAATACAAACGCGATTTCCGGAGGCTGGCTCGGAGGGCCACGTCCAAGTGGCCTTCCCTGGTTACCGGAAGTCTGCTGTACCTCCCCAAGAAAAGGCGTCACTCTGGCGGCCCGATCCCGGGGAAGGAGGCAGGGAGGGTCCCTTCCCCGGCTCCGCCGCTCCCCCGTCCCAGCGTCCCCGGGTCCCGCGGTCTCCCCAGGCCCGTCGCCGTCTGCGCACGCGAGCACGCACACGACGGGGGCGCTGCGCGTCCCGCTAAGTTTTAATTCCTGAAGTGCTTAGAGAAAAACAGCTTGTTGGGGTGAAAAAATGGTAGAAATGTCCACTCCCCTTCAGGGTGCCACCTAGCCCGCGGGAAAGCGGGGCCGGCGGGGAGTCTCCAGGAGACTCCTAACCGCGAGTCGGGAGAGCGCGGAAAGTGAGTCAGCAGCGGGCTGGGCGGGGCGAGGTGGGCTCGGAGGCGGGGCGAATCTGGGGGCGGGGCGAGTTCAGGGGCGGGGCGGGTCCAGGTCGGGCGGGCCCTGGCGGCGCGCGAAGCAGGCGGAAGGGTTGGGTCGAGCCGGGCGGCTGAGGACTGAACGGCCCTCGGCGCCGCGAGGGGACCCCGTGTCCTGCGCCCCCGCCCCGCGCCATGGAGGCCGCGCTGCTGCGCTTCTGCAACTGGAGCACGCTGGCCGTGTGCGCCGCGCTCAAGCTGCCGCAGATCTCCGCCGTGCTGGCGGCGCGCAGCGCGCGGGGCGTTAGCCTCCCGAGTTTGCTGCTGGAGCTGGCGGGGTAAGGCCGAGGCTGCCCCTTCCGCCCTACCTCTGCCCCCTGCGAGAGCTCTAAGAAGGGCGGGACGACCCCGGAGCTCCGAGCTGCAGCCGGGCAGCCCCGGGTTAACTCGGGAGCCTCGGCGCCGCGCTGGTCAGGACTTCCCCACCCTCCTCCCCACCCTCCTCGCCTGCTCCTTGCTGTGCCTGCCGTGATTTGCATTGACTGCGCACGCCCATTGTACAGATGGGAAAACTGAGTCCTAGCAGAATCAGGCTCTCACACACAGCATCCCTAAGCCCGCGCCGCACCATTAACTTTCTCTGGCCTCGATTTCCTCACCGGTAAAACAAGAGTTTGAACTAAGATCTCTAAAGACTCAGACGATGGGGTGATCTTTGGAGGGAGAGGAGGAGGCGGGATTAGGGCAGGAGTCAGACAGGCAGGGAGGAGCCCAGGGGACTCCAGGTGCCAGTTTGTCCGTGGGAAATCCGGAGTGGGCGCGCTGGCTCCGGGATACAGACCTGAGCCTGGAAAGCAGAGGTGTGAACCTGGTTGGGAAGCCTGGGAATGCAGGTGTGGGGGGAGGGAAAGGTTCCCTTCTGCTCTCTCTGCCACTGGAACGAACGGCTGGCAGGGGACAGATGAATAGGAAAAGAGGCTACAAGTTCCTGCAAACGTAACACTCAAAGAAGGGCCAGGGGGTTGAGGCTTAACTACCCTCTTCAGAGGGGAGGGGGATGGCGGTGTAGGCAGCAGCGAAGTGTGACCGAGGCAAAGGTCTTAACCAACAGAGGCTTGTTAAGCTGAAGTTTGAGGATGTACCGGTGGCCTGTGCCCCCTGAAGAGGGATTTGGATACAGAAGGAAAAGGAGGAAAGGGGCGGGCAGTGAGGCAGGTGATAGTTCTTGTGAGGCTCTAATTGGTGCCCGGGAAATCCACATTTTACATGAGTTAAGGTGCCTATTTGAGGAGAAGGGAGTGAAGGAAGAATCAGTTATGTAGGTGACCTGGGCAGGTGGAGGAATGTTTGATCTCGTCTTTTCTCTGTTCTGCACCTGGGAAGCTGAACTCATAGTCAGCATTGTTAGTGTGGAATCCAACAGGCTTTAGCTTTAGGAGCTAGAGTAGCCTGCAGACCTGAAGTCACAATCTGCTGCCCTTGTTCATGGGCGGCCAGCAAAGAATTTCCTCACCCATCATCTGCAGGGGCGGGCAGTCCGAGATGCCCGAGGCCTTTATTTTTCCTGCGGATCTGGCTGAGGCATAATGTTAATAGCAGCTGTCCATGTGGAAGTGGGTGTTGCATGACTCAGCCCCAGGCCTGACCCTCCCTGTGCGTAAGGAGTTGGGGGCCGGGGGAATCCCTGAGATTTTTATTTTTCTTTACAGGAGTAATAAATGATTTTCAGGGGAAACGAGTGGATGCCAAAACACTGGCCTGGGAAAAAGCTCCTCCGAGCTCTGGGGGAGGTGGCGGGAAGGCGAGGGGTGGAACTCCCCTGTGGGGCAAGGTTGCCTTATGCAGATAAAGCCTCCCAGGTAATCTCTGGCAGTGGAATGAGAGCGCAAGGCGGGTGGGCTGTCTGTGGGGCTTGCTGCTGGTCATGGTCACGCACGGCCGCCTCGTGCGCCAGGGCTGGGCACGCAGACTTCTGTGAGTGGCTTGGCTGGGTCAGGGCCCAGCTGCAAGGCCAGCCTTTCCCAAAAGGCCAGCTGGAAGCAATCTGGCTCCACCACTGAGTTCCAGTAGGTTTTATCTCCACCTCCCCAGCAATTGATTATAGTGGTTCCCGTTTCCTGAGCACTCCCTCTGACTTACTCTGCCATGGTGCGCATGACCTTTCTCACTCCTCACTACTGCCTCAGCAGGTAAGTGTTGCTTTTATCCCAGACCGTAGGAACCCGAGCAGGCTGGTGAGCTCAGCAGTCCCGGCCCTCTCACCCACTCTTCCCCTTCTCCCTGCCCTGTCCAGCAACTTCCCCAGCCTTCCCTGGGGAGGCCCAGGTGGGGTGGGTGCAGTGTTCACCTGACTCCCCAGGGGCCTGCCTGCCTGGAGGACCCCTGACCAGATGGTGGGGGGACAGCCAGAGTTTAAGCCGAAGAAGCCCCAAGGCGGTCACCATCAGTCACCTGGAGGGCATGGACCCTCTTTGGATCTAATCTGAGCAAACTGGCTCCGAAAGCCCATTTTTGAGAGCATTGGGTCACTTGGAGCATGAACTGTGTCTTAGTGACAGCAGAGAATTTTAGTGTGGGTGGGTGTGAAGTGGCTACACGGGCACTCCTCCAGAGCGCAGGTACCCCCTCACCTCCCCCGGTTTAGTTCTAGGCAGTAGAGCGTTGGCCTCTGGGTAAGAATCCTCTGGAAAAGTCCAGAGTTCAACTCCAGCTCTGCCCCTCACTCTCAGGCTACCTGCCTCCCTGCGTCTGGGTGGCTGTGTGTGTGTTGAGGCCGAAAGCTCAAATGCGTCCACGGGGCAGACAGGGAATATACACAAGCTAGTGGGGCTGGTGTCAGATGACCGTGTGGCCTGATTTTGTTATAATGAGCATTTTAGCTATTACTTTTCGATTAAAAGAAACATTGAAAAATAAAGACGCTGCAGGAGCCGTGGGAAGTTCGGGTGCTGCCAAGCCGGGATAGACGACAAGGAGGGTGACGGCCGCACCCAGGCTGGTGTCAGGAAATCCGTGCTCTTCGTCTTTTCGCCGAGTTCTTGTATGGTCTTGGCTTCTTTGGGCCTCAGTTTCCCCAAGTAAACTGTAAGATGCGGAGGCCAGCGTGCGTGCTGTTGAAGGGGAGCGCAGCTCGGACACTGCCGGGTTCTCTGGCCCCAGGCTGTGTCCGGGAGGCGCGTGCACAGCGCGGGTGCGTGGATGGTGAGGCCCCGTGGCCTTTTCTCACGTCCACGGCCTGCTGAGCTGCGGCGCCGCAGAGCGCGTGGTGGTGGGTGGAGAGCTGGTGCACGCGGGTTTCGAGAAAGATCTCTCTGGACAAAGATTAGGATAGAAGTTTATTTACTTTTTCCTAGGCGGAGAAAGGGCCAACAGGAAAGAGGAAGAGGAACAGTGTGTTGGCGCAGAAAGCTGGTTACTCAGACCTTTTATTTAGGAATTGTAAAAAAATAAAAAGGGGGGGGAGTGAAAGATGATTTATGGCTGAAGCCAAATTAACAGGGCGCTGCAAACAGTGGTATCTGTTCCTCCTCTTCTTAGTGGCAGGCTGATGGCAGAAAGATATGATTTGGGGCAGGATCTGAGGCCTGACGTTTGTCCCCCCTGCTGTCTGATTGGGAATTTCCTGGGAACTCCGGGCGGCTATAAAAGCAGATTCTAAAAGGGCAGTCTTAGTCTATACAGGTCTAGTGATCGCAAAAGAAAACAGTTTACATTTCCTTTCTGTTTGCTGGGCTCCTTTTAGATGTTATGAAAACAGAGCCCCACAGGGTGTCTGTCAGAGAGAGAGCTCATTTTTCTGTTATTTGGCTAGCAAGACTGATGTCCTTTCAGGTGGGATGCAGCCTCCCCAGCCCCCTGGGCTCGCTCTCACAGGTACCAGAAGGGGCTGCTCAGGGGGGCCAGGTGGGGCTGAGCCAGGTACCTGCTTGTCCCTGAAGCTGGGAGAGCCGGGCAGCCAGGCCTCGGGGGTCCTGCTAGTCACACAGGCACCCAGGCCTGGGGAGACCCACATGCTCTGGATGACACCTGGGCCCATCCCCCGCTCCTGTAACACCCCCTTCCCAGCCCCCAGCTGAGCCGGGAGTTGCACACTGTCAGAGCAGGATGGGGGAGGCACAAGCTCTTTGATGAAGCCGGTTTTCCATGACCCCTTCCCAGCTTAGGGAGTGAGACCCTGGGGCCCGAGTGTGGGTTGAAGCTCGTGGTGTGGGCTCCCTTCCTTCCTGTCCCCGTGGTCTGGACTGAACACACCAGTCGGGCAGCTGCACTGCTGGGTGGTGGGACAGACACAGGCAACCCAGGGGACAGCAGGGACTCAGGTCCTGAGGGAGGAGACAGGGCCAGGGTGTGAGCTGGGTGGCAGGAGGTTTGGCCTCTTCTCCCGAGGAGGGTGGGGCCCTCACAGAGCCACGCGTCCCTTAGAGGGATTGAGGGTGGGTCTCCAAGCCCTTCCCACCTGCCCTCTCCTGGACGGGGCAGCACTTCTGGAAGGCAGCACGCAGCACCAGGTGGCATTCTGACTGGAACACACGGTCTCGACCCTCCCATCCAGGCGTGGATCCAGCCCCTCAGATCCCGTGCACCTCTGCAGCTTCTCAGGGCGATGGGCACGTGTGCGCAACTGCTGAGGCGCAGCAGGTCAGGGCCGGGCAACCACCTGTCTTTGGAGACAGGCGGACCTGGGTCCCTTGTGTTGCAGAGGGTCAGTGATGTGCCTTCTGTAAACATCCTTTGTAAATGACCATCTGAAGGGACTGAGTAGAGCGTGGATATCGCACTCAGGCCCAGCTCCCAGAAAGTTCTGGATGTTCCCCAAATCATGCAGATTATTTCTTTCTTTATTTTTTAATTAATTATTTTTTTTTAGATATGGGGTCTCCCTCTGTCACCCTCTGTCATCATAGCTCACAGCAGCCTCGAACTCCTGGGCTCACGTGATCCTCCCGTCTCATCCTCCTGAGTAGCTGGGACTACAGGGGTGCACCACCTTGCCTGGCTAATTTTTTAATTCTTTGTAGAGAGGGAGCCTCACTATGTTGTCCAGACTGGTCTCGAACTCCTGGGCTCATGTGATCCTCCTGCCTCAGCCTCCCGAAGTGCTGGTATTGCAGGCGTGAGCCACGGTGTCCAGCTCAGATTACTAGATTGAGTCCCATCCATACACGTGGGGCTCCCAGCCACCGCTCACAGGATTTGGCAAAGGAACCTGGCTCCTGGGATCTGGGTGGCTGTTGTGGGGCGGCCGTGAGAGCCTGTGTCCTCCTCCCCCCAGGTTCCTGGTGTTCCTCCGGTACCAGTGTCACTACGGGTACCCGCCACTGACCTACCTGGAGTACCCCATCCTCATCGCGCAAGGTAACATCCCTTCCATTCCCACCGCCTGCCCCGCCTCCCCTCCCCGCTCACTGGAGCCTTCCTCTTTCAGACGTCATCCTCCTGCTCTGCGTCTTTCACTTCAACGGCAACGTGAAACAGGCCGCACCCTACATCGCTGTGTATCCTTTCGGCATCGGAGAGTCAGAAATGGGCTTGGGCGTGTTATTTGCTAATAACATGCATCGGGAAGCAGGGTCCCTTACCAGATATGTATGTTTTGGTTAAACTAAAGAAGAATCCCAAATGCAGATGTATCGACACAGACCAGAGATGCCCTTGGCACAGTCCCTGGCCGCGGCCTACCCGTCAAAGCCAGGGTGCCTGGCTTGTGCCAACAGCACACCTGGAATGCAGCCTTAGCATGGCACTGCCGAACACGCTAGAGTATAGTTGTCAGCCCCTGCTCGGGCAGCATTATACAACGGTACTAGTTTATTTCAGATATTTTTTCCTTTTCTGAAAATAGCCCCAAAGACCTTGAAGTAATAATAACGAGAGTGTCTGGCATTGAGCACCGTGCGGCCAACGCGCCCGTTACCCAGCTCGCTTGCTGCCAGGCAAGGGCTGCCTGGGCTCCTGCGGCTGGTCCGCAGCGCAGCGCGGGTTCTGTTCCTGGTCCAGACGGTCGTTCAGAGGCGTAGCCTTGGGGTCCCAGCAGCCTTGGGTTCCCAGGGTTTTTCGTGGCCAGGAGGCTGGAGGGGCGCCCATGTAGGAGGGCGAGGCTTTGTTCCAGCACTTTGTAAATTACAGACTCCGTACTATTCTCTCACTAAACTGCACGCTCCTTGGGAGGCCGGGGAAGTTTTTTGAATGGCAGGGCAGGATGGGCAGGCAGTCGATCCTGCTGCGTCTGTGAAAGGGTCTGAGCTGTTTATTCCTCCTCCCTCTTCAGGGGAGGATGTGGCCCTTGGGGACATGGGTCCTGGGATGTGTGTTGTGGGGGTGGGAAGCAGCTGGCCCAGAGTCAGATAGGACAGCACCACCCCCACGCTCGGAGCCGCAGTTCCCTGATCTGCAAGATGGGATAATAGCATCTACCTTTAGAGTTGTGCAAAACTAGAAGTACCGGGAACACAGAGAAGCTGAGTAAATGACAGGGCCGTCATGCTGGGTTTACTAGAAGGGGGCTCTGCAGCCCGTGTCTGCAGCGGGGAGCTGGGTTTGGGTGCAGCGGGACCCTCCGAGGTTTCATTGAGCCACAAGCTCCCCTGGCTCAGTTTCCCGCTGCAGAAAGAGGGCTGCGCCTCAGCACTTCAAGGTTATTCCCAGCTGGTTAAAGGTTTTTGAAAACAGTACTCTGAAGACGAAAAGCCTTATGTAATTTACTTTTGAAATAAAATGCAACAGCTTATCTGTGCAAATGGTGAGGCTGAAGGTAAGATGTGGGAGCTGATGGTAAGTTATTCACAGAGCTGCTGGGCTGCTTAGGGCGAGTCTGTGCTGTGAGCAGGTGTTTATAACCTCCTGTCAGCTGCACCTTGTGGAGAGCAAGTAAGTAGTGTTGCTGTAATAACAACGAATATCTCATAAAGTGTAAGAATGTCCCAAATACTGCATGGATATACTTACACTAAAAGATTATTTGTTGTTGACCTGAAACTCATATTTAACTGGGTGTCTGTATTTTTATTTGCCAAATCTGGCAACCCTACAAAGAAGTCCTCTGGAGGATCTCAATAGCTCCTACTGCCGGTCAAATTTTGTAAAATATATATTTCGAATACATAGAAGGAGGTGGGATGGTACAGTATTGGGCAAAAAGAAAATCGCAAAAACTAACTTAAAAAAATTGAGTTAGAGAGTGTTTTAAAAACAGAATTTCATCCAGCTGGATTCAGGCTGCCTCCTGGCGTTGACCAGGCTGCTAGTATTCAGTTTTACTGACTTAGCACAGGGCGTCATATATTTCAGTCCCTTCACTTAATTAATGTTATTAACTATAACAACAGCAATCTCTTGAGTCCCAATTATGTGACTGTAGGCATTTAGGAAGTAGACAGGGCAAGAAATGTTAAGTCCATTTTACAGATAAGCAAACCAGGGTCAAGAGATGGAAAGTGACTTGTTCAAGGGCAGTCCCGAGACTCCTGGCCTGTCCTCTCCAGCGCTCACTTCAGTCGTCACTTGGCTGTGTCATTTTTAGGCTGGAGTTGGTGGGACGGGGGAATCAGTGAACAGGTCTGCATCACACCAGTTTTGCAGAACATCCCTACTTTGTAGTGTGTGGGTCCTCCCTTTTAAGTGCTTGGCTTTTGACAGTGAATTGGAGACAGCTGCCTGGCGAGGGATTAAGCGGGCATCAAAACCTTTAGGAACGTTCCCAGTCCCAGGGAACAGCCCATGCACACAGGTGTCTTTGTATTTTTCTCCCATAATCTGCTTTGTTCTTCTGAACTCCGAGCAGGTGTTCACTCGAAACCCTTTTTGTCTTTTCCAAATCTGACAAGTTCTAGCGGAACCACCCCCAGTTCCACGCTTGGTTTCTATGTGCAGCTCTCTGCGGTCTTAGTTTGTTTGCGTGAGACGGGAGGGTGGCGGCGCTGCCAGGTGACCCACTGCTTCTCCCTTAGCACTTGGTAAGACTGGTGTGTTCTTGGTTCATCCTCACCCTGCAGAAGTGGATCATAGACCTGGCCATGGTAAGTATCACCCTTGAAAAGGACGTGTGAGAAGCAGCAAGCTGCCCTGGAGAGAACTTTCTACATCAAATGTTAAACCTGCTAAATTTTCAGCTACACTAAGGGATAATGGGAATGAAAGTACAGTGCTATCCAAATATTAAAAGATAACATTCTCGTTTAAATGTGGGGCAACGGTTTTTGTAAACTTTCTTTTTGGGGGCCATAGAGAACCAGATTGGAAAGGTAGTTAACCGTTGTAGAATGAAAAACTGAGCGTCAGTTGAAGAGCTTCTTATTAGGCTGATAATTACATGTTGGCTTCATGCTCATTATCTTTCCGACTTTACCCCCCCGCCCCCGACGTTTTTTCCTCAGCGCGCAGGGTGCTGCAGGCTGACTGCGAAGATCTTACTCTGCCAGGCGGCAGAGGGCCCGAGCCCGCCACCGTGCGGACTTGTAATCGAAGAGCCAGAAATTCAGGGCTGATGCTTGCGTTTAGGAGTTTGTCCGTTCCAAACAGCATGGTGTTCCCCAAGCTATAAAACGCAGCATTTCTATTTATTTTTTATGGGGCGTGGGTATGGGTAGATAAGCCTCTGTGGCCAGGCAGCGATTCTTACTCCCAACTTCAAACTAGCTGTCGCCCATGAGTAACCCACCGCACAGTGGAATCTGTGAGGTACAATAAACATCTCACTGTTGTGTTCTTTTTCACCAAACTTAGGTTCCACCCTTGTATTATGCAGATTGATTATTATTTGACCAGAAAATTTGGCTTCAAGCATGCTTTGAGTATCTGGTGCTCTTGTACTTTTTTTTTTTAACAAATAGACTCTTGCCTTTCTCACATTTTATCTGCAAACAGAATTTATGTACTTTCATAAGCGCGGCCAGTAAGTTTGCGCAGCTCCAGTGTCTGTGGAAGACGAGAGACTCAGGAGCTGTGAGCGCGCTGACCTGGAGCCTCTCCGCCTACACCTGTGCAAGTAAGAGCCACACGCAAATGCCAGCGCCAGGGGTCTACCTAGCAGTCTGTTAACTTGGTTTTGAAGTGCCATAGTCCTAGCTGTTCAGGCAGAACCTCCTAGCTAAGTGTATCCATATTTACAAGGCTGATTTAATGCAGACCGCCTTCCATTTTCTGCAAGATCCATATTCCAGATGCCAAAAAAGAAAAAAAAAAGTGAAAGCAAAAATCAGGCCTAATATTATCAGTCCTGCCTTCTTTGAAAAGTATCAAGAGGTTGATTATATTGAATCTCCTAATTTATTTTTAAAATGTGAACCTTTGTGATACAACAGATTAAAAGGATGAAAATCATACATTGGCTTTTAAGAATGAATATAATTTGCAGCAGTGGAGAGACTTTCTGCAGCCACATCGTTTGGTCTTAACTTTAGAATTTCCACTGTTCATTTGGGTTCTTGCAAGAACTGCCTAAAACACACATATATATAGGTAGAAACATTTTAAGAATTCAGAGCTATCATATTAATTGGATTTACTAGTTTTAGATATTTTACTTTATCATGATTCGTCTGCATTTTAAAGGACCAATTTCTCTATCCAGGGTTGCTGGTTTGGTTCTTTATGTCCAAAGTTACTGAAAATGAAGACTTGTTGAGTTTTATTTGTAGCTTTAAAATGTTGCCGGGCACGGTGGCTCACGCCTGTAATCCTAGCACTCTGGGAGGCCGAGGCGGGCGGATTGTTTGAGCTCAGGAGTTCGAAACCAGCCTGAGCAAGAGCGAGACCCCGTCTCTACTAAAAATAGAAAGAAATTAATCGGACAACTAAAAATATATAGAAAAAAATTAGCCGGGCATGGTGGCGCATGCCTGTAGTCCCAGCTACTCGGGAGGCTGAGGCAGGAGGATCGCTTGAGCCCAGGAGTTTGAGGTCGCTGTGAGCTAGGCTGACGCCACGGCACTCACTCTAGCCCAGGCAAAGGAGTGAGACTCTGCCTCAAAAAAAAATAATAATAAAATACATAAAAATAATAAAATGTTACAGTGTGTATATACACACACACAAGAGCACATATCACACACTTTGTTTATCCGTTCACCTGTTGACGGACACCTGGGTTGATTCCATATCTTGGCTATTGTGAATAGTGCTGTCGTAAACATGGGTGTACCTCTTCGAGACACTGATTCCATTTCCTTTGGATGTATACCCAATAGTGGGATTGCTGGATCACTTGGTCATTCTATTTTTGATTTTTTGAGGCACCCCCATACTGTTCTCCATAGTGGCTGTGCTGATTTACATTCCCCCAACAGCATGCAAGGGTTCTCTTTTCTCCACATCCTCTCCCACATTTATCTTTCATCTTTTTGATAACAGCCATTCTAACAGCTGTGAGACGATATCTTATTGTGGTTTTAATTTGCACTTCTCTGATGATTGGTGATGTTGAGTATTTCATCATATACTTGTTGGCCATTTGTATGTCTTCTTTTGAGAAATGTCTATTTAGATCTTTTGTCCACTTTTAAATCAGGTCATTTGTTTTCTTTTTCTTTTTTCTCTTAAATTTAAGTAACAGTACAGTACTGAGGTCACTTGCTTTCATACTATTGAGTTGAGATCCTTCTATATGTTGGATAATAACCCCTTATTGGATATATGGCTGTTAGGACGTGAGAATCCTTGTCGGCCACCTTCCTAACTGGAGTCTTCTTTCCCTTGACTTAAGATCAATGTCCTTCATTTAAATTGCTGACTTAATCAACATCTATTGACATGGTGTCTGCATCTAAAGCCTTGGGTCATCAAATTTGGCAACAAAAAATCTTAGAGGATTTGATCTCTGCCTTTTGACATACGCTAAATGCAAAACATGTTAGGCAGAGGGAGAGTGTGATGGATTGGTTTTGGGTTAGGCAAGGCCTGCCTTGAGTTGCAGGTGGTAGGTGGTGTTCTCTAACTCCCAATTCACGTAGCCCACGCGTGTCAGTTTCAACTGTTACCCCAATTTCCTACATGTTTGCTAAGTGAAGGGCTATACCAGAAAAATGAATTGAACAGTTCTAGTTAGACTCTTAGGAAAATTTCTTGGCCTCAGTTTCCTTATCTATAAAACACAGGGGTAGAATTTAAAACATTGTTTTTTAACTAGTGAGAGCCTTTCTTTAAATAAAACCACGCAGAAGCTCATTATGTAAATGAGATTTATTAGAGTTGCTTTTTGAGGGTGGGGGAGTGGTGGGTTGGCACACACAGACCATGGAAGGCCAGCTCAGCCCCACCCCTGGCTTTCCTGGGCAGCACCGAAGTACCTTCTAGGAACTGCTGCTTCTCTTATGAGCAGTTTGAAAACCACTAGGCTGGGATGCATGGCTGGTTTGTAGATGTTTGTGAAATATAGTACTATTTGGTTTTAGGTGCTACCAAAAATCTATCAACAACACTTAGTATATATTGGCATATTAAAAGGGAAAGACAATAGCTAAACACCAAAATGTCTGAGAAGCAAGTCATTTATTGCTGCAAATTTTCTTTTACAGCAAGAATAGTAACGACTTTAATGACCACCAATGATTTTACAAGTAAGCAAAATATTTTTCTTCCCACTTTTGAGTTTTGTGCTGTTTGTGCCTTCTTCATTTGGAAACTGTCTTAGGGTTTAATAGATGGACTCTGCAGTAATGGATGACGGAAGTAGGACAGCAACAATGTATTCCTAGTTTTCATCAGTCACATTTTTATTCTTAAGCATGTACTTCTTGTAGGGGGGACAGGCTATGCACGAGAGTGGATTCCTATCTGCGTGGGGCTTCCACTTCAGCAGTGGAATTGGACCTAAGTGATCTCAGTTAATGACTGGATCGTACTGTGAGATGTGTTTTGAAAGAGCATGGCAGGATGAGCACCTGAGAACCTGACCTAGTCTGAGGGAGCTGGGAAGATTAATTTGAAGAGGAGTGAAATCTTACAATGGGTAGAGATTTAATCCCAGGAAAGGGTCGGGGGACTGTTACAAGGAGCAGCGTGAGTGGCCATTAGCAGAGAGGACACAGGCCTGGAGACCCTGAGAGAATGCCGCAGGGCCAGGGTGCGGGGGAGTGTGGGGAGCGTGATGGCGGGGTGAGGCTGGCAGTGGCCAAAGTGCCCAGAGTCCAGCGTCCAGCACCTAAGAGAACGGCGCACAAACAGTAGGAAGCCTCTGAAGGCTTTTTAAAGCAGGGGAGTGGTATACTCCTTTGACTGTATGTTCTCGCTTTTTTTGTTTGTTTTTTTTTAAAGAAAAAGCTGTGATGGAGAAAGTAATTTGGTTAGCTAAAAAAGAATTCAGTAATTCCTTAGGCTTTCAACTCCCAAATTGAGCATATGTTATACATCTTTGGGAAATGATTAGAACAGATGGTGTCGCCTATGAAGATTGGAAAATGTCCCCGGCACACAGACCCCTTAAATAAGCTAATTATTATTTAATAGAGAAATACTGCTTTAGAACAGAGAGATGCATTTGTTGGTCTCTTCCTGGAGGTTGTACCTTTGGCTCAAATACTTTTTGTCAGCTCTGACTGTAGGATTAAAATTGTTCTGGTCAAAGAGGAAACTTTGATCAAGTGGGGAATGGGAGAGAAGACAGACCGGGTCTTCGCCACAGGACCTGAAGAATTCTCAGCATGGAAAGGAGAGTCAAACCCTAACTAAACAACAAACCTATACACTAAAAATTAAGTTTACAAGATCAAGAATATTCTAATTCTGATTTCTTATGTGTGACAGCTGTTCCTGAGATTTAGTATATCTGGGGATAACCTTTTAAAAACAGTTTAGCTAATATCTTACATGTGTTTTACAAACACAAAGATATCTTAAATCTCATAAACCTTATTCATTGGGAGAGTCTTCAGGCCTTAAAGTGTTAGTTAAGTCATTGTTAAGGTTTTGGGGTTTTATTTTTTTAAAAAAGAGTCACATTTTCATGGTTACTTCAATATAAAATACGCTTTGACATTTGGGCGAGTTTTTCTGTTAAGAAATGTAGTATAAGAATTACCGT